GGTGTGGGTTTATCGGGTCCTCGCTGAGGGCAAAATAGTCTATTGCAACATGGACGGTTTTCAGCGTACCTCGGCATCTGGGCCGTCCCGGCCCATGCTTAAACGTGTCTCCCCATGGCACGGCCTGGAGCGGCACGTTTATAAATTAATTACTTCAAAAAATTCAGAGAGATAGAAAATTTAGAAGAAGAAAATAAAATCAAAAAAATGAGGCAAAGTTCATATGGGATAATTTTTGAGTTTTATTAGTGCCTGCCTCGTTAAAACCTTGCATCCCTTGGAAGGAAAAAAGCATAAAGTCACGCTCTAAATTAAAAAAAACTACAAAAGGATAAAAGAATTACAAAGAAAAAGAAGAAGAAAAATTACAAAAAAGTACAACTATTCTTCTAGTTCTTCTTTGTGAATGGCTAGGTTTTTTAACATGGATTTAGGTCTTTGGTTATTGGCAGTGTGTTGGGCTCTCCTTTGTGCTAGTTCCCATATCCGTGGTGAGACTGGTTCTTCTCTTCTCAATTATTCTTTCAGCTAGACTAAAAGCAAAGTGTGATGATACCATTGAGACGGACACCGATAACACATTCAATGCTAATATTGAAAGCACGAGATATGTAAGCTTGTGGTCATGTTACTAGTGCAGTTTGTTGAACTCATCATGATCATCGTCATTAGTAGAGATGATTTTGTCGATGACAGGAGCAAATAGAAAAGGAATTGGCTCAAAGAAAAGAAGTCTTGCCAATTGATAGAACTGATGAAAAGAATAATGATTCAGAGAGTGAGAGTGATTCGATTGATAAAACGAATCAGGTAGTATATGTTATGAATCCATCAAATCCAAAGAGTCAAACATCATTGATAAAGGGCATGGAAAGCATCGCAAAAGCAATTGTGCTTATTTTTTTTGAAGTATAGGGAACCTTCTTCCTAACCTATGAGTTATGTGTCATAAAGGTTGATGAGCATAAAGAGAAAGAATGTCTGGCCAAACAAAGTTCGGTTGATAAAAACCACCAAACCGATGAGGCATGGGAAATAATGATGATAAGGCATTGGGGAATCAGACGGAGGAGCAGGATATTATTCAAGTCATGCCACCGTCATGCTCTCTCAACATATTTGAAGAGGTATCACTGGTACGCGTCGGTGCTATACAAACAGTTTTAAACCCCTTTCCGCGACAGCATTTGGAACCGTCATCAAGTGAGTGTGGGCGATAGCGGGGTCCTTCCCACACGACCCAGAAACCGTCGGGGATTGAAAGGATCGAGAAGAGGTGTCTAGAGGGGGTGATTAGACACTCAACACACAACGTTGGCAGTTTTTAAGTTTCTCAAGTTTGGGTGGAGTTTAAGCACAAGTTTAACCATACATAATACAAATCAAGCAAGCATGCAAGGAGTATATGAGCAGCGGAAAGTAAAGCGTGCAACTTGCAAAAAAGTAAAGGGATGGAATTGGAGTGTGCAAACGCAATTGGAGACAAGGGTGTTTTTGTCGTGGTTCCGATAGGTGGTGCTATCGTACATACACGTTGATGGAGACTTCAACCCACGAAGGGTAACGGCTGCGCGAGTCCACGGAGGGCTCCACCCATGAAGGGTCCATGAAGAAGCAACCTTGTCTATCTCACCATGGCCATCGCCCACGAAGGACTTGCCTCACTAGGGTAGATCTTCACAAAGTAGGCGATCTCCTTGCCCTTACAAACTCCTTGGTTCACTCCACGATCTTGTTGGAGGCTCCCAAGTGACACCTAACCAATCTAGGAGACACCACTCTCCAAAAGGTAATAGATGGTGTGTTGATGATGAAGTCCTTGCTCTTGTGCCTCAAATGATAGTCTCCCCAACACTCAACTCACTCTCATAGGATTGGATTTGGTGGAAAGATGATTTGAGTGGAAAGCAACTTGAGGAAGGCTAGAGATCAAGATTCATATGGTTGGATTGGAATGCCTTGGTCTCAACACATGAGTAGATGGCTCTCTCTCAAAAAATGGGTAGTGGAAGTGTAGGCACGATCTGATGGCTTCCCTCACGAATGAGGAGAGGGTGGATGGGTATATATAGCCTCCACACAAAATCTAACCGTTACACACATTATACCAAACTCGGTGGGACCGAATCAGAAAACTCGGTCGGACCGATTCAGTACATATGTGACCGTTAGGCAATTTCGGTGGGACCGACATGTCCTCTCGGTGGGACCGATATCATTAGGGTTAGGGCATAACGTAATCTCGGTTGGACCGATTATTTAAACTCAGTTGGACCGACTTTGGTAATAAGCTAACAGAGAATTGGTCAGGCAAACTCGGTGGGACCGATTCGCTCGTCTCGGTGGGACCGAAGCGTTACGAAAAGGAAACATGGAGTTTGCATTGCAGACTCGGCGGGATCGATCGCTCATCTCGGTTAGACCGGAATGTTACGAATGGAAACAGAGAGTTTGCAACCCCATCTCGGTGAGACCGAGATCCCTATCGGTGAGACCGAAGTGACTAGGGTTTCTGGAAGTGGCTATGTCAAATGAACTTGGTGGCGCCGGAAGGATCAAATCGGTGGGGGCGAGTTTGACTTTTGGTTTGGGACATATGTGGATATGAGAAAGTGGTTGAGGGCTTTTGGATCATATCACTAAGCATTTTGAGCAAGCAAGCCATTAAGCAACACCTCATCCCCTTTTAGTAGTATTGGCTTTCCTATAGACTCAATGTGATCTTGGATCACTAAAATAGAAAATGTAGAGTCTTGGACTTTAGAGCTTGAGCCAATCTTTTGTCCTTGGCATTTTGAGGGGGTTCCACATCCTCTTGTCCATGCCACTCCACTGTTGAACTTATCTGAAATATACTAGATGAAAGTATTAGTCCAACAAGATATATGTTGACATTAATTACCAAAATCACCCAGGGAGCACTTGTGCTTTCAATCCCCCCCCCCCTTTTGGTAATTGATGACAACATACATCAAAGCTTTAGATAAAGATATAGAGAAAAGTAAGTAAAGCTTTGGAAAGACATGTAACATGCATATGCTCCCCCTACATGGATGCAATCATGTAAATATGGAACACAAGATCATGTGAGTGCATAATCATGACAGAGCAAGCAATGAGTTACATGTATCTTGGCTATATGCATCAGAGCAAATGGTGTGAACATGGGAAATGTACCTTCATGCTCATGAGTCCTCCTTGCAAACAATATGTACATCAGCAAGAGATCCTCATGTACATGAGTGTGATGCATATACTTACCTTGTGGTCTTGAACTAGCTTTGGAAGAGATGAACCTGAGTAAACAAGGCTAGACAACACAGAAACATCTACTAAGCAGAGCAAGAGCAGTAAACCACAAGAGTACCAAGATTGGGATGACATGTAGAGAGTGAGTACTGGGTACTCTAATTGAGTGTAGATATGTCCCCAAAGGTAAAGATATGCAATGAATTTTAAGATTTCCTTCCCTTAGATGTATTGCTCCCCCTGAATCTTATAATGGATATTGGGAGAAGATAGGGAAAAGAAAATCAGAGCAAAACAAACACAAAAACAACATAAGCATGTCTTTCCCCTCTAAAGACATGAAATTTCTGTCCTCTTTGAATGCCAAACAACTGGGGTCTCTCTTTTGAAAAGAATGTATCTCTCCCCCTGTTGGTCTTTTCCCCTGTTGGAGTGATTAAACTTTGATGTGAACTCTCCCCCCCCTTTGACATCAATTTCCAAGAAGGGTCTTCTGGAGTGTGAGTCAAAATAGGTTGGTCCTTGAGTCACAGAGCAAAGCAGCACATAGAATATGATGCTGATAGAGGATAAGAATCATCGAGTGGAGCTGAAACAAAAAAATGCAGAATGCATGTGATAGAGTGATTTCTCGGTATTGAAGTCGGCTAAACCGAGTTGGTTCCTTCGGTGGCACCAAAAAATTTCGGTTTGACCGAAAGAGGCAAATCGGTTTGTCCGAGTTCATCACAGATAAAACACTAGTCACCTCAGCTCACTAAGCAAGCAAGATCTCACAAGGATTTGCAATGAATTAAACTGAAGGATGTGCAAAGAATTGGGTGTAGAGAAATGCAGAACAGAAATAAAAGAGAAGAAATCTAGATGAAGTTTTTTTTATTTTTTTTAACAAATATGCATGAGACAAAATGCAAGAACAAGGAGAAACAATAGAGAACTTCATCTAGAATTGGTCAGCGACAAAGTCACCTATGTTAGAGTATATTGACTTAGGAGTCAAGTGAAGACACTTGATCATAGGTCATACTCATCGTTTAAGCTCAAATTGGGGTTCCCATTTTACATTTAAGCATCTTGATGTATTCTCATCTTGTTGAG